CAGCTAAAACTGTATTAGTTGACCTAATTCATTTTAATCTTGTTACATCATTTAGCTCATTGGAGCTTTGTTTTCTTATTTATTGTTTAGTGTCACTCGTTCCCGTTTTTTTATTGTACCGTTGCATTTATTTGCTGTGTAATAAACTTGTAAATCTTCCCTCGCATCTTTTGTTCTTACGTCGACCGTTTTGGCCGTCTTACAATCGCAATCTGTCAGCTCCATGAAATTCTTCAGAGTAAAATCTCTAGCTGTTTGCTGCAAATCGGGACAATTATAACTTTCGGCTGAATAGTGCGCCTTGATACAGTTTGAAAAAGAAAGTTTTTGAGAAATAAACTCACTTGAAAGCTTCATCAGACTTGGAACATTAAAAAAACTCAGCCATATCCATCAAGTCAAATGCATTGTGTTCATTGATATCCCCGTGACCGATGTACAAATAAACATTGAGGCACTTTCTCCATCAAAGCTCTTCTTGCTTCTTCCAATCATATCACCCCTTCTTTCATGTCATTGTTCAGAGCACTATAAAATAACGGACTTGCTGCACTTAGCACGTTTCCGTGAGCCTTTAGTCGAGCTCGATCATCACTAACGCCAACATCAAGGGTCACATCACAAAATTGTTCGTTTTTTCTCTGCATGTCAAGGCGTTTCATCATTTCAAAAACATAGTGTTGAAATGATGAAACAAAATCTGAAATATCTGGAGGATAAATTTCCTCAAACTTGGCTGCTATCAGCATGCTATTCAGCTCAGAGTGACAATCTTAACACACCTTTGTTAATGATTCAACTTTGGATTTATCTGCTTCAGGACATTCTGTGGCCTTCAAAAATCTTTCAAGGAAATTTAGTATTGTTGGTGAACAAACTTCGAATCCCAAAGTCTTCAGAATAAGTGACTCCATTTTAAGAACCTAAAGAAAAACAGAATTTTTTAACGTAAGCAAATTAAAATGAAATAAACTTGGCAATGTCTACTTAATTGAGTGTCCCCCACATACAGCTTTGTCTTAACCTAAAAATACTGAGTTTTTCAGTCTGCCAAATTGATTCTATCATTTTTTACTAGATTTTATGCTCCCAAAAGAATGAATTTTTCTTTCATGCCACATCAGCAAAACTGCATGCCAGAAAAACTACGCTTTCCCTAATTTTGTGAAAAAATTCCATCACAATATGTCCAATGTAAAACAGTAGTCTTTTACTGAGATAATGTTCCTTTGCATTTGTATTATAATTTTTTTACAAGATACCCTCCTATGCCACCCCCTTTACCCTTTTTGGAACAGTCACTTTAAGGGTGATGTAAACTTAAAGAAAGTGAAGTAGTTCATTGGAAAGTGCAAAGGGGAGGAAATTTGAAGAAGGGTTGTAATGGTTTTGACCGTGATAAGCAGCATTTGAAATCTTAATTCAGTTAAAAGAGTATAGAAAATTCCCTCAAAGTGTTGGCAATAAAAACTGGTGCACATTTGCGACTAACAACTTACCTACAGAAGACTTAAAATAGTTTGTCGTAAGCATATCCTGTACTTTACTGTAACAGAAGAAGAAAACCACAAAAATTTCATTGTACATACCTGCTTTGCAGTATAAGTGTCATCTGTGATGTATACAAAATCTGAAATATCTGGAGGATAAATTTCCTCAAACTTGGCTGCTATCAGCATGCAAGCAGTTCTCACAAGTTGCAGCTTACCCCGTAAAACAGACATGACTGATAGGAATCGGTCAATATAGTTTATGGTTAGATAGAGAGTTTGGAGTGAAAGTTTGTACTCTTCAGCCACTT